GCCTGTGTCGTGAGCACACTCCTGTACTGCAGTGAGTCCTAGACCCTTTGTGCACGGCAGGAGAGGAAGCTGAACATGTTCCACAGGCATTGTCTCCAATGCATTTTTGGTATCACCTGGCAGGACAAAGTTCCAAATAGAGTGGTCTTAGAATGAGCTGGAATTTTTAGCAAGTACAGGTTACTGAAACAGTGATGCCTACGTTGGCCTGCACATGTCATGAGAATGGCTGATGGTCGGATTCCAAAAGATCTCCTGTATGGAGAATTAGTGCAGGGAAATTGCTCCAGAGGGAGATCACAGCTGCGATACTAGGATATCTGCAAGTGGGATCTGAAGGCCTTAGGAATGGACCTCAACAGATCGGAAACCTTGACATCTGAGCATTCAGCCTGGAGGCAGGCGGTGCATCATGGCCTCTCCTGTTTTGAAGAGACGCTTGTCCAGCAGGCCGAGGCAAAGAGGAAGTCCCAAAAGCAGCAAATTCAGGGAGCTGGACAAGGGACAGATTGTATTTGTCTTCAATGTGGAAGGGGTTGTCACTCTCAAATTGGCCTTCTCAGCCACACTAGACGCTCTTCCAAGTCCTCCATACAGAGCATGTTACCATAGTCTCTCAAGACTGAAGGATGTCTAATCTAATCTGAAAGGGCCTGGGAATCTCTTCGGTTATCACATATACTGTAGATAGGGGACACAGGTTACAAGTTCCAGTGGGAATGACAGTAACTGCTAAACCTGTTGGGCATCTTCTGCCAGCTTCTCAAAAAGATTGCTACACACTCATGGATTGCCACATTAGCTTCATTAGCTGTGCTACTGAGCTGATACTAAGCACTGCATAGTCTCTGAGCCATAACTGATCATAAGTGATGCATTCATTAATATTTTATATTTTTGAGCTCAGAAATCATAGTGGCTTGCTATTGTCTTAGGCAGTGAGTCTGTTCACTTGTTTTACCTAACTCAGTTATTTTAAATATTTGGAAGAAGGTTCTATAATTATGGAAGTCTGTTGTTGTTGTTGTTGTTGTTGTTTTACTAGATATCCTAGAGCACTTACTGGTTGTGAATGGGTCTTCCGATTAATTAAAATATTTATATTTGGATATAACCCTGCCTTTCTACCCAAAATCACCCATGGTAGGTAAGAAAATGAATCTTTCTAAATTATGAAATCACACACGACTACAGACACCAAACAGAAATACAATGGTTGTTGTGGTTTTTTCGGGTACTTTGGCTGTGTTCTGAAGGTTGTTCTTCCTGATGTGTCGCCAGTCTCTGTGGCCGGCATCTTCAGAGGACAGGAGTAGGAACTCTGACCATGCTCTGTTGCTGTTTGTTGGATAGTTTATAGCTGTGGGAACAGCTTTTGTCTTTTTTCAGGAGATAGGGTGATCAGCCTGTTTTGTTGTTGTTGTGATAAGGGGAGAGAGATTATCTGTTACTGTGATTGATAGGTGCCGTTAGCTGGTCTTTTTATGTGCAATGATCCCTGGTCCTTGTGGCTGGGTAGAGTTTGTTGACCTTTTACAGGCTGTATTTTTCAATATTGGGAGCCAGGCCGTGTTTAGTTTTAGTCCTTCTTCCTTTTTGTTGAAATTCCTGTTGATGTTTATGGATTTCAATGGCTTCCCTGTGCAGTCTAACATAATAATTGCTGGTGTTGTCCAGCACTTCAGTATTTTGAAATAGAATTTCATGTCCAGCTTGTTTTAGGGCATGTTCAGCTGCTGCTGATTTTTCCGGTTGTTTTAGTCTGCAGTGTCTCTCATGTTCTTTGATTCTGGTGTGAATGCTGCGTTTTGTCCCAGTAGTGAAAGCCTTCGAGAATACACAGAAATACAAAGCATTGGGGGGGAAATGCAAGGCACAGGAAGGTTTGTATAACACTAAATCTGGAAGACCCGCACTGGTTGCCAATTTCAGTTTTTGAATGGAATTCAAGAAAGTGTCCTTGACCTACAAAGGGCCTTGATGAGTTGAGACCCAGGTATCTGGAGAGACACCTCTTCCCAGATCAGCCTGCCTGTGTTCTTAGAACAGTGTTGGGAGGGCATCTCATCTAACCACTAAGGGAACTCCACTGGTTGATGATCCAAATAGGTCCTTCTTGCCTTGACTCTGGAATCCCCTTTCCCAAGAGTGGCCTTGGTCTATAGTTGGTACCTTATTGATCTTTTGATGAAAGGCCCATCCGTTTCTCCAGAAATCTCTGAGCTGTTAGTTGTAGTTACAGTCAAGTTCACCTCTGGTTATTTTACCAGTGTTATTTTAACACTGTTATATCCTAAACTGGGATTTTTTTATGAAGAATTGGCTATAAAAACAAACAAACAAAAGGGGGAAGTGGGTAGTCCTTTAGAAATCTTGATTCCAAATTGTTTTAGAGGATAGCACTCGACAATCAGTTACATTTGTTAAATGGAGCTGTAATGTGTTACAACCTGGCTCCCACATCCTGGAGTTTTGAAGAACTCCGAGACTTCCAAAGAACTTGTTTCATATGTTTGTAAATAAATATACATTGCTAAGGCACCATAACAGTCTTGTGTTCTTTCTCGCATCCAAAGGAAAGCAGACCTTATAAGCACGGTCCTTGAACTCATCAGCACGCCAGGAACTCCAGAGTGCTATAGTACAGTACAACAGATTTTCAATTTTTTTCTAAAAAAATAGTTGTGTATTTTACCTCAGCATCTTCTACCTCCCCCTTTTAAAAAAAGTTTATATTTAAATTGTATTTGGTGAGGAGCGTAATATGACCAAACTTCATAAAATAATTATTGCCTGAAAAACAGGCTGTTTTAAAATAAAGTAATCTGATCTCTCCTCTTTTCTTCCACTGCATATTGGATTAATTTACATAAATAACATATTGTGCTGATTATGTTCTAATTGACCAGAATCAGATACAAGCTGAAGTTGTGTGGCCTTATTACTCACTCATAGTAGAATATTTCATGTGTGTGTTAAATTATTATTTCATCCTGAATCACAAGCCAGGAAAGCCGGCTGTACTGGAAGTTAATGTCTCCTGGGACAAATGCACCAGAGGGTGGTGTCCCCCGAAGCTGAAAACCACTTACAGCACACTTAACTCCCGTTAGAAAATCATTTACCAAGGGAGAAATCCACTCATACCGCATTTCCTCCAGGCAGAAAGCCCATCAAATCACACTCAATCATTCCATCCACAGAGTAAATAAATCAATCTGTCCCAGAATTGAGAACCATTTGAAATTCCCACTGAGTGACAGAAATGCAAACCATTGGGGGGGAAATGCAAGGCACAGGAAGGTTTGTATAACACTAAATCTGGAAGACCCGCACTGGTTGCCAATTTCAGTTTTTGAATGGAATTCAAGAAAGTGTCCTTGACCTACAAAGGGCCTTGATGAGTTGAGACCCAGGTATCTGGAGAGACACCTCTTCCCAGATCAGCCTGCCTGTGTTCTTAGAACAGTGTTGGGAGGGCATCTCATCTAACCACTAAGGGAACTCCACTGGTTGATGATCCAAATAGGTCCTTCTTGCCTTGACTCTGGAATCCCCTTTCCCAAGAGTGGCCTTGGTCTATAGTTGGTACCTTATTGATCTTTTGATGAAAGGCCCATCCGTTTCTCCAGAAATCTCTGAGCTGTTAGTTGTAGTTACAGTCAAGTTCACCTCTGGTTATTTTACCAGTGTTATTTTAACACTGTTATATCCTAAACTGGGATTTTTTTTATGAAGAATTGGCTATAAAAACAAACAAACAAAAGGGGGAAGTGGGTAGTCCTTTAGAAATCTTGATTCCAAATTGTTTTAGAGGATAGCACTCGACAATCAGTTACATTTGTTAAATGGAGCTGTAATGTGTTACAACCTGGCTCCCACATCTTGGAGTTTTGAAGAACTCCGAGACGAGCTTGTTTCATATGTTTGTAAATAAATATACATTGCTAAGGCACCATAACAGTCTTGTGTTCTTTCTCGCATCCAAAGGAAAGCAGACCTTATAAGCACGGTCCTTGAACTCATCAGCACGCCAGGAACTCCAGAGTGCTGTAGTACAGTACAACAGATTTTTACTTTTTTTAAAAAAAATAGTTGTGTATTTTACCTCAGCATCTTCTACCTCCCCCTTTTAAAAAAAGTTTATATTTAAATTGTATTTGGTGAGGAGCGTAATATGACCAAACTTCATAAAATAATTATTGCCTGAAAAACAGGCTGTTTTAAAATAAAGTAATCTGATCTCTCCTCTTTTCTTCCACTGCATATTGGATTAATTTACATAAATAACATATTGTGCTGATTATGTTCTAATTGACCAGAATCAGATACAAGCTGAAGTTGTGTGGCCGTATTACTCACTCATAGTAGAATATTTCATGTGTGTGTTAAATTATTATTTCATCCTGAATCACAAGCCAGGAAAGCCGGCTGTACTGGAAGTTAATGTCTCCTGGGACAAATGCACCAGAGGGTGGTGTCCCCCGAAGCTGAAAACCACTTACAGCACACTTAACTCCCGTTAGAAAATCATTTACCAAGGGAGAAATCCACTCATACCGCATTTCCTCCAGGCAGAAAGCCCATCAAATCACACTCAATCATTCCATCCACAGAGTAAATAAATCAATCTGTCCCAGAATTGAGAACCATTTGAAATTCCCACTGAGTGAGAAACGCCATCCTCCCCCAAGATGCTTTTGCTCTGCTTCTGCAGGGAAAGTAGCAGGAAGAAATCTGCAGAGAAGTTTTCCCTTTCCATATCTCAGAATTGCTTGTAAAAAAGGTTGCCAAAAAGGTTTCCTTCACTAGCAGGCAACACACTAGCAGCCAGTAAAACTGCCCAGCTTTTCCTCATCTATCTAAAGATAGGCATGAAGGGAACTGGTGAAGGAGAGGACTGGGATACAAAAGTTGAATGGAGAAACACAGTGGCAAAAATCAGTCTTGCTGGCAGGATGCTCTATGCAGATGCCGAAGCAGACTTTAAATATACATACCTTAGGAGCTCTGAGGAGCAGCACAGCCAGCAGTTTATTCATATAAATATGCAGACATACCAGCCTTCTTTGGCTTGGTGACCTGGATCAGGGCCATATCTACAAGAGAAGGACAGCCTGCCTTGCCTTGCCCCACCCTGCTCAGCACTTCTGAGTCATGCCCGCCCGCCCGCCTGCCCCCCCATGTGTTTGCTTCCTGATCATTTCAAAGTGTCAGAGACTGGCAGACAGAACAAGAATACTAGGAAAAGAAAATTATGCCACAATGCTATGCCTTGTAGTGATTTTTAGGCTGGCAAAACTTTGGCAAACAGGAACAACACCCATATACCCAATGCAGAGCAGGGGTTGGTCACTTGACTTTACTGACATTGTCTAGAATATGCAGCAATGTATCTGTTAGTGCTTCAGCAGTATGTGGACCGAGAACCCCCGGAAGTACAAGCTGGATGTCGAAGCGGCAGAGGAAGTAGAGACCAAAATGCTAACATGTGCTAGATTATGCAGAAAGCCAGAGTGTTTCAGAAAAACATCTAATTCTGCTTCATTGACTATGGAAAAGCCTTTGACTGTGTGGACCACAACAAACTATGGCAAGTCCTTAAAGAAATGGGAGTGCCTGACCACCTTATCTATCTCCTGAGAAATCTATATGTGCGACAGGAAGCAACAGTTAGAACTGGATATGGAGCAACTGATTGGTTCAAAATTGGGAAAGGAGTACAACAAGGCTGTATATTGTCTCCCTGCTTATTTAACTTTTATGCAGAATACATCATGCGAAAGGCCGGATTGGAGGAATCCCAAGCCAGAATTACGATTGCCAGAAGAAATATCAACAACCTCAGATATGCAGATGATACCACTCTGATGGCAGAAAGTGAGGAGGAATTAAAGAACCTCTTAATGAAGGTGAAATAGGAGAGCACAAAAAATGGTCTGAAGCTCAACATAAAAAAAACAAACCCTAAGATCATGGCCACTGGCCCCATCACCTCCTGACAAATAGAAGGGGAAGATATGGAGGCAGTGAAAGATTTTACCTTCTTGGGCTCCATGATCACTGCAGATGGTGACAGCAGCCACAAAATTAAAAGACGCCTGCTTCTTGGGAGTTAAGCGATGACAAACCTAGACAGCATCTGAAAAAGCAGAGACATCACCTTGCCAACAAATAGTCAAAGCTATGGTTTTTCCAGTAGCGATGTATGGAAGTGAGAGCTGAACAATAAAGAAGGCTAACCACCGAATAATTGATGCTTTTGAAATGTGGTGCTGGAGGAGGCTCTTGAGAGTCCCATCGACTGCAAGAACAAACCTGTCTATTTTGAAGGAAATTAACCCTAAGTGTTCACTGGAAGGACAGATGCTGAAGCTCAGGCTCCAGTATTTTGGCCATCTCATGAGAAGAGAAGACTCCCTGGAAAAGACCCTGATGTTGGGAAAGTGTGAAGGCAAGAGGAGAAGGGGACGACAGAGGACGAGAT